CCCCAATGAGACAATCAAAAAAACAGGAAAAGTATACTACTAACTATATGTATAAAGTTATGAGTTCTTCTGTTTTTGGTTCTGCAAGCCTGTGTTCTCAATGCCTGAAACTTAAATTTCCCTTTATTAACTACGTGCAATTTGAACAGAGCTCCTTAGTTAACTCAAACGTATGGAAGGAGCCCTTGCTAGCCTCATGTCATCGATATGCCTCGAAGAAACTGCATTTGAGCTGTTGGTGTCTGACCAGATTCTTCTTCTCATAATATTTTCGACCACATACACACATGAAGTTTCCCCTTCCTCTTGGTCTTCTAACAATGTTCGAAAATCCTAAAAATATAAAAAATCAGAAAGGAGAAGAGTATAGTTTCGTTGTACCCCATTATGTATTATTTACAGATATTATTTGTATAAATATAATTATGTACACTGTAGGAATGAACCGTCAATAATGAATTTGATATGACAGTACAGCAGAATTAGTTAAAACTGCACAAATAAATATGACCAAATTTGAATGAAAAACAAACAATATCGAAATTCGTGAAAAATAGCTCAAGATTTCTATCAAAAGTTACGATCGAACCTACAAATACAAATAATAAGCGAATTAGATTACAATGTTTTAAACTAAAGATCAGAAATTGCGGAAGGACCAACTAGACAATAGACAGGTCATATACGCAGAAATCCCTCTTCATAATTTCTCACAATCTACCAAGATCCTGAACCATATATGGCTACCGAAGGACCTCGATACTTAGAACCGTATTCAGAAATGACCCTAAAAGTTAGGTGACCATAAAGGAAGGGTTCCCTTGAAGGAACCCTCATAGGGAAGGGTAACATCGCTTGGGTAGCAGGAAGTTTTGCAACGTGGTAGTATTTACTGATGTGGCAAACTGTTTGTATCTGTTAATCTCTTCAGGTTAGTTTAGGCCCGTATCGTCAGTCGTCCCTACAATTGTAGGGCGCGTTTATGGCCTCCTTGATTGTCTTACTCCTTTGTCTCCTTCAAAAATTTCTAGATTACACTTATCCCGTGTCAGCGTCAGCGCTCTCTTATTGTGAAGATATGTTTTCTTTTCAAATTGTAGGAAATTTCAGGCTGATAAAACATGATATAACTCAAAAGCAAGCACAATTTGATGCGAATAGATGTTTGTGACATAACCTCAAAATACAGTTCTGACACGGAGAAGTAGAAAACTATGACAATCAAGGAGGCCATAAAGGCGCCCTACAATAATTGTAGGGACGACTGACGATACGGGCCTTAGTGTCACGAGATGTCACATTTCTATTTTTTAAAGCGTATGTTATGTAGCCCAGCTGTTATTTACAATAATGACCAGTTCAACTATCACAAATATTTCTGTATCATACCTACGTTGAAAATAAATTGTATACAGGCAGTTGACGAAAAGGGACCTTAACAACAGCAAAAAATGCGTTGAGCATGACGTCAGATATTGGAGATTATCATCTTACTGACATTTCCAGGATTAACCCCAAGGGTTATCAAAAATGTTTGCTGCTCAGAGTCTCTCGAGGTCCCTAACCCAAAAGCCCAATTTCACCAAACCCATTCCATTATCGGATTACCTAGTCGGGGATAAGCATGGTCGGGGCATTTTAATGGCGTTTATAATATGTATATTCCACCAGTCCAAAAAATAATTAAGGATTAACTAAATGTGCATGTGTTCTGTGGTCATCATTATTATAACCTCACCTTTCACATATGACCCACATGACTTTTGGAATGATTTGGTGATATTTTATTTATTGTGTAAGAACTCCTGAAAATTGTGGGTCATCCAAATATACAGTAAAAGGAAACTCGATCCAAATGTGAAATATGATGAAGATCAGAGATGCTTGATAGAAATAATAAAAAAGTTCTTCCACATGACTATGATAGAATCCACCATATCTTGTGTCGCAGTCCTGGATAGACCGAATCGCTGTTGAAAGTACACCATCCAAATTGTTAAACTGAGCTTTTCGCTCACAGATCCGGGGGCGCCGAATAATAAAATCTTCATTCTCACACTCGTCTTTATACGCCGTACTATTTAATCTTCTGAATGCCAAAGATAATAAATTCAAAACAATAACACATTTTCCAAAACACACTAGCCAATATAAAACACATATCACTTTTCTTTTAAAGTGCACAATTTTTAGGACAATGTCAACTGTCATCATTTTATCTCGGATTAAATATATAATTGGCCAAAAAATGGCTGATTCACTGTTATCCACGATTAGTACATTTAATCCTGGATTAAAGTTTGGTGAAACAAGTTTATAAAAATCACTGCGACAAAATCTCCAACTATGTTTTAATCTTGGAACAAAGATTGTGGTCGTTTAGGGTTTAGGGTTGTTTATGAATACAGCTTGACATAGTTCAAAAAGAGAGCAGTTGGAAGTTGATACCAGCTTGCAGCTTGAAGAGGTCTTTAAAATGTTAAGTTGTGAAGTCGTGGCGAGCTAAATAATTGTGGTATCAGGGAATGACAGATCGGCTTCTAAATTCAAAGGTATTTATTAACATAACATATAGATGATAGTATAAGCTCTCTTAAATAACAGCTATCACAGGACAGATTCATGATATTCTTTAAAGCAGGGTTGACACATAAACGGTTGCATTGGACAGTCTCGGCAATATGTGTAAACAACATTTTCTTTTTTATTGTGAACATTTTCCTTCCCGTATAGCAGTCTCTGTTTCTGATAGCAAAGGAAACACTTTTTTACTATTCTCTTTGTATTTGCCTTCATCTTGATGAACAACATTATATGGGTTTTCAGTTTTTTCACTGTTGTTACTTCGTGGTGTAGTCCTAATGTGTAATTTGCTATATGAAAAGCACCTGGACAAACAAACAAAACTTATAAGAGCATATCTGCCTAAACCATAAATGACACCAGTGCACCCTTTCACCAAACAATGAGAAATCGAGTAACAAAACTTGTGTTGAGTGATTGGAAAATCTTTTATCAAGGTACCCCAGAATAAGAGGGCAGTCTCTCGGATTCGTACGTATAAGCAAAACAAACTAATGCAAGCTCTTACAAAAAATGTCCTAGGGGCTTCTCTACTGAGATACCATGCTATAAAGAACGCTACTGGATAGTTTATCTTGAATATCACATAAATGACACTGTGTAACTCAACGATTTTTTTACAGCATAGTAACTGGTTAAAACCTCATAGGATGGCGTACATGTAGAAGAATTACCTCACTTAGAACGTTAGGGTCGAATTAGGTCTAACGCAATATCAGTGTCTTTTACACTTTGTCTTAGCCGAAAAGGTGTACTTTTATTTGAACATGTGAGCCATACTCAAGGCTAGGACTTATCTGGGTCTTGTACAGAATGACGTAGTTATACTCCTTGGCCCTATACAATAAACCTAACATTTTCTCAACAGCTGTTACAATTCGTGCCAAATTAAGTCCTCGATGGTCTGTATTCTAACCAGCCAGACTGAATGGCACTTTGCCATAGGTCGGTTACACATTTATAGTGAGATGAGCACTTGGGCGCTTCTTGTTGGTCAAGGTATAATACTGTGTTGTGAAAGTATTAAATTGTACCAGACTTTTGCTTTTCCAAGCAATGATAACCTCCAGATCTCTCATCAGAGAGAAAGTCGCTACTAGTCTTTTTCTCTCCAACTCATCAGCAGAGATCAGGTGTCATACTGAATGCCCGCGTGTGGATGGTTTGATTTAGAGGCCAGAAAATGGAGTCCCATGAACATAAAAACCACAGGATAAGTTTCAGGTGTTACATTCACCGTTGATATGTTGGCGATCATGTTTAAATATGACTGCCAAACAGCCAGGATTCGCGAGGCCCCAAAATGAGTACACATACATATAAGGACCGACTAATCTGAAAATATATTTCTTGGAGATATCTAAATTTCTGTATCTTCATAATGACGGAAGCACTTTAGTGGATCCAGTACCAAATTTGATAAAGATGTACTGATGTCACAATGGTTTACCGAAAAATAGTTCACTTATCAGATTCAAATAATACAGTTTCCAGTTAAAAGATTGAGGCTTTCCAAAATTCTTTGAGTCAGTATTATAAAGAATGTAAAAAAACCGCATGTGAGGCCCTAATTGCCTGGCAAAACTTCGTCAAAGCAGGCAGGTGTGTCATGATATTTTGTATATTATATGATATTTTAATATGAACCTGTGTCTAATATGCATCGGATAGGTTGCCAGCTTACCCTGGGACACCCTATATAGAATACAAGTTATTCAACAAGCAACATATCGCTACAAAAGTAAGGGTTTCACTTACTTTATGTTGATGATTTTCTCAATTACTGTACCTCTCAGAATGATACAGTAACCTGAGCGAAGCAGTCAAAATAAATAAATCTATACTCGTCCTCCAATGCGGAAAGGTTATCCCAATATATCTTTTTTAATGCTTGTTGAAGTAACAGGCATTCTGTGAGCCACCATTTTGTTAGTAGAGAAGCAGTGTATTGACAGTAAAAGCTCATTCTCATTCCAATTTATTTAGTAGACTTATGCCAGAGGTCAAAACAAGCTGGGCAATAAAATTTGTCGCATCCTAGACATTTGAGTCTTGTTCTGGGTGTCTTCGTTTGAGCATGAAACCGTCCGTAAGTATCTTTAAGATTTCTATAACAGCTCCAACAGCGACTCTTCCATTTATAATTAACGGACTCAAGACAGTGTGGTACCGATTCGTCCCCTTCGCCAAGAGATGATTCGCACATACCTGAAATCTTGTTCGTTGATGAATTGTTGATGAGTTGGTCTTATACTCAAAAGCTATCACCATCCATGTTGCGAAATAGAAATGCTGATTTTATTGAATAAAACTGCATTTTTTACTACTACGGCTACCTGCCAAATCTTTTATACCACTGACACCAGTATTATTCATGTAAAATTAGATATTATAGTGTTAGAAATCAGACAAAAGAATCCGCTTTAAAAACCGTTTCAAACAGGAACAAACACATAGTTATTATGAGAATAATAAACAACAAGCAACAGAAAATCCCAAGTGTGCGATGGTTTCCTAAAAGTGTTGACCTTTCTGATATCATGGATCAAATTTAAGTAAGAAACAATTACAAACACTCAGGATTCCAAGCACAAAAATACGTCGCTTAGCTAAGACCTTGGCTTGAAGACTCACAGGATATAGGTGTTAAAAAGGTCAATAATAAGTACGATGAACTGGTATTTATTTTGAGCTATGTCTTTCAACAATCCTAGTAATATTTTATAATACTTTTGACCTAAAAACTAAACATCCATCAAGCATGATTTTGTGCTCAGTATCATATGTAAGCATACAGTAGCTATTAATTGGAAAAGCTTTTGAGATGGAATACATCATTGTCGCGAAATATGAGATTCTTCATGTGGACATGACATCGGTTCTAGCTCAATCAACAGTGAACACCAATGCTTATCATGCTAGGAAAAGTGAACGTTGTAACTGTGGTTCAATAAAATGTCATGTAATTTACATAATGACAATTTGAGAAAACCGATAACAGGAGAATGATGGAAGTCGCTATAGTTGTAATAAGTGCTGATTCGATCACATTCCTTTACTTAAAAAGCTCGATAAAAAAATGGGTAGGAGTGTCATAACCAAAAAATGGTGAGCCTCAACATATGAGAAGGTTTTGTCATTAAAAACAACTACTCCAAAGCTTAGAAGTTCATTTTTGGAAGCAGTCCCTTGGACGTTTCTTTACTCAACGTTTGTTTGCAAAATTAATTCAACGCTGGCTTGCATTTCTGTCGTCTGGTAGAACTCAGCTAAGCTCACAAGAAATCGCAAACTCTAGTGTTCCATTATTTACTTCTTATGGGTGTGAATAAAACAGTCAACGCATAATGGCGGAAAACCAGGGCATGTTAAACAATATGTGTTCACCCTCTTGCATTTGCTTTTAACTTCCTTTGCGCCAAATCTGGTACTATTGAAATTGTAGCAATTCCTGCACATTTTCGTGAAATTCTTCCTGACTAATACATGCTTTTCTGTTTTCTTGTCAGCAATTCCAGAGGTTGAAGCATCTCCAGATTTTCCTATCTGGGGATCTCCACCTTTCTTTGATTTCTTTCTCTTGATGATATTCTTTGGGAGTTCCTTTTCTGGATCTGCTTCCGACTTTTCTGTTTTTACTGCAAATATTTTCAATATTATCAACATGCAGAATATGTTTTTCTCACTTGCTACCTTTACTGCAGATTGACAACGTTACAATGAACTGCTTTCCTGACTTAAGATTTAGGATGATATGCTTTTTCATTTGCTTCTGTGTTTCTGTTGGTCTTAATCTAACTCAAAGATCGTACGTATAATCTGACTATTTATATCACGTGATAAGACTAAGGTGCTCAATCGCGCAGATGTGTCATTAAAAAGAGTAACAACATTTTGATATTTTAAGACTGTTAACATGCAGTAAAGATAGCAATCGGTGGCCAGGTTCACATGAACATATCGTTAAATCGAAATAAGACAGCGCAAAGCGCCTTCTATCGCTAAAATCGTCCACTGCGAAACAGTGGGCTGCACTTCACTATTTCGCAGTGGTCGCTTCCAGCGGTAGATGGCGCTTCGCGCTGCCCTATTTTGACAGATCGCACACTTTGGATAGTGCTTAGTTGCTATGCTTTCGTTCGTTGTCCGAGACACCCAAGACCTAGACCAAGGCCTAGACCATTCTGAGGAGCAGCCAAAAAGTCCATTGTTGGCTGTCTGTGGTCGGACGGATGAAAGCCGATAATGTTTATTTTATAACATATCGTCACTTGAGTGCTTAGGCAACTGAGCACTATTTAACCTGTAAATGCAATCACACTATTTACCACGGATTTATGCGGATTGGTTTCCCAATCGAGTGCAACCTACCCCTCGTGCCTTTGTTAATGTAGTACAAAGGGCTCGTGAATCAGGTGACTTAAGACCTCACAGGGAAGAGCATGCCAGTGCTCCAAGACCGCACGATCAAATACAGGTCCGCACTGAAATCTTGTCGGGAGGATACTTTATAAAACAAGGTAGCATTTTTTTTTATTTTTACACACATATTTTGGTTTATCTTCCTTCTACAATAATTATCTGAAAATTAATAACTCAACTTCAAAGTCAAAGTATAACAAAAACCTTCCTAATTTTGCAAAACAACGCGTCGGTGTCACAAGGCACACCTCTGCCAATCAGCGATATGGGGCACTGAATTTCAATAAATCATCAGCTGTTATTTAGGGTCAAATTATGACACAATGAACTATCGTGGTAAATAGTGTTGCGCTATGTTCTGATGGACGCAGCCATTGTCATAAGAAACCCTTTCATACCTTGAGCATCAGCCTCTAGAGGAGGAGCAGCCACCGGCGGACCATCCTTCATTATCACTTTCAGAGGTGGAGGGGGCTCCATGACCTTAAGAGGAGGAGAAGGTTCTATTACCTTCATAGCTTGGGAGTGTTCTGGTATTACAAGTGGTTGCTCTATTTGAAGATTGTTCAATGGTATGGTCGGGTCTATAGGCTCGCTCTTCATTATAAATGTCAGTGGAGGTGGTTGGGTAAAAAATAAGGGATCTAAAATAATGTACACGTCAGTAAAAGTGGGAATTTACTAAATATATCAAATTAATTATTATAGAAATGATGGAAAAAGAGGTATTCAAATTAAAGAAAACTACGGGTTTTATACTAATCCTTTATTTCTTACTATACAAAGGCGAGTAATTATCCATATAGGCTACATGGTAATTTGTATATTCTACGACATTATGAGTCTAGGAGAACTGAGAAATTAGTAATACTGTTCGAATCACATTATTAGCTATACAGTGTTTTCAAAAACCATCATCTTTTTTAATAAAGCTGACACTCGGGGATTGATATATATTATATTTCAACATAAACAATTTCAAGATGGCGGCAGGGCGAGTACTTTATAATAATAATATACAAGTTTACTGTTAGGTTGCCAAAGTTAAGCATAATAAATCAAATCCAAGCGAATAACCAAAATTTCTTTGTTATGTACCGCGGTTATAATATGGTTTGAGTTGACACACGAGTTGATGACGTCAGTTACTCGCTTGAACGCGTTGTTTTTAACCGCGGTTTTGTTGCAAGTTGTTTATTTTAGAAAAGCGTGTATATAATTTCTGATTATTTTTATTAATAATCAGTGTTTTTTCGTCTACAACAGTGTATGGAAAGTTTAAAAAAGAAACCTTTCATAATATTAATGGGAGATATTTTTTTTTAATTTTTAATGATGGAACCGTGACTTTATAGCTATGATAACTTTCATTTCTCTGAATTTTTCCGCATGTCAAAGAAAACAGTCATTGATTTAGCAGAAATAAAGAAAAAGGATATTAGCAAAACCGTATACAGGTGGACATTATCGAGAGAGTTTATATGGCCATATTTTAATATTCTTGTGGTATATGGCTACACGGCATACTTTGTTAAGCATAGGAACTAGATTTAAAGTATCCCCAACCACAGTAATGAGTATAACTAATAAGGTGCTCTCTACAACTGAAGTCAGCCTGTATCAAGTTTCCCAAAAATGAAGCTAAGTACAACAAAAATATCCAATACCCGGCAAAATTCTAACTTGTCACGTTTCAAATAATAACCAGAAATATAAAACTACTCCCGAGTTGGGTAAATACCACAATTTAGCGGTGATGACTATGACATATAACAGCTGATTCATGACGTCACGGATCTTATAACCAAACTGATAACCACACTCGCTTGAACGGACCGGTAAATACCAATCCAAAATGGTAAATACCATTTTGATTTGGTTATTCGCTTGATTTTGATTTTTGTCTATCCAAATATGTATAAAAGATTTGTCAAATCCGTCAATTTTTATTTCCCTTTGGCGAGGAAGTACTGTAATCGCCCAAAATTTCGAATTTCAGATATATTATGCTTCTTGTTACAAGACGTATTTTATATTGAAGTAAACCCATATAAGAGAAGGTTAATGAGGCATACTCAGCGTTTTGACGATCAGTTGTTGACTTATAAGTGATTCAATATACAAACATGGCCAACTTTCGCCTACCTACCACTTAGTAGTCTATTACAACTTGGAGAGACGTCACCGCGATAATAGCAGGATTGATTGTTTTATGTTGAATAAACAATTATTGGTCTAGACGTCGCGTTATTTGCAGAAATAGGAGAATCCATTCCAACAGTGAATTCTTATTATAATGTTATATAGTGCCCTTTCAGGACCTTTAAAATGAGCTATACAAAATCTCCCATTCCATTAAAAAAAAATCCAAAGAAAGCACCCGCTTTCCAAACAGCACTACAGATGTATGTGCTATTTGAATCGAATGAATGAAATCATTATCTCACCAGAAACCTCTATTAGTTAACACAATAGATTACACACAACACGACATATTGCACATTGTACATTTTAAATATCCATGTCTGACTAACCTATAGAAAATGTATTTTTATAACTTTTTAGATTATTTATAATAATACGTATGCGGTGTAGTTGAGATCTTGCTTGTTCATTACGGCTACTATGAAAAATTAATACCATCGGTTTATCTGCATCACAGTTCTTCTAGATTCATATTATTGCTTTTTATAAGCAGTCTTTATTTTAAAAAAACGGTTAATGCTAGGGTAACTTTAGACTGGAATTCAGGATATTTCATATTTCCAACCTGCAGTTAACGACACTTATATTATTCAAAATTTTGATTATTTCTTCATTTCCCTTCAATCATAAAAAAGAGAATTGATAACCTGAAGACTTGCGTTACTAAGTCTTTATGCCGAAGACATGTGGACAACAACTGTTGCAAACATTAAAACAAATTCTTGCCTAACTCATTTTTCAAGAGCAATCATACTTTGTGGATACACATTTTTTGAAACCAGTAATTATTCATATATATACCACGGTTTTCAATTTTTATCAATTTGGGCAGTTACTCAAACAACACTATTTTTGGTAGATTCGAACCATTTAAAAAAAAAGGATTGTATATCCAGAGACTAAAGACGGTTGTCGCGAATCTTACCATAAAACTGAAATAACATTGCAAATATCTCAAAGACTGGAACCAGTCACTAAGAGCACGTTAAAACTTACACATATGTGAGCTCAGTTTGAATGTGGCGCATTATTAAGCTCCCATGGGAATATATAAAAACAGGTCACGTGATCAAAATCGTGGTTTGTGGCCGCTATAATAAAAAATCGCCGCCAAGTTGTGAAACTATTTAGGATTACTAACTGCAATAGTTTCTACTGTTCGAAATTGGTTTTAGCTCTACCTACCATGGACCATTTTGCATATAGTCCTAATTAAATGCCTTTTCAAAATGATAAGAATTAAAGCATAAATAATTATTGGATTAATAGACAAATGTGTGAACATAAACTATGTTTAAATTACAATAAAAATGATGGGGTTATTGTTTTTGTTAGGGATGGTATTAGGGCGAATTTCTCCAAGTGCCAATTAAGTATATAAAGGGCTAGTTTAGGTAGACTCACGTTAGAAAGGGATGGGGTTTTGTATAGTACAACGTGCGTTTACAGACCACCTCCAATATCAAAGAAAGACTTCACTCATGATTTGCACACTTATTTGGAGCATAATAGTTCTGCTAATATTGAGATATTTCTGGGGGATATTAACATAAATATTCTGGATAATAAGAACACTCTGGTGACAGACTATCTGTCAATGATGTCTTCTATTGGCTTTAACGCATTTATCAATACACCTACTAGACTGTCTTCGGGAACTTGCCTGGGCCATATATTTGTTAGGCAAAAATTGAAAACCAATTGTTTATTATTAAACTCTTATATACTCAATGAGTAAATAACGGATCACAGTCCAACAGTGCTTTGTATAACTAATAAAGCACGGCCTTCTGGAATTTTGGAGGTTGGGCAAGTTGTAACAAGAAAGTAAATTAAACATAAATAAATTTAAGAAGTTTTTGAATAATTGTGATTGGAATTTGATAACTAGTGTGAATGATCCAGAAATAGCTATAAAGTTATTTTTGACTACCTACAGGGACTTGCTGTTGAAAGCAAGCAATTCCAAAAAAAAAAATAAAACCATGGATAAGCAATGGAATTATTGTTTCTGTGAAAAGAGTGGATAAAATGAAAAAGAGACTTCTAGCAAATTATAGCTTGACTTTGAAAAATCAGTACAAGAATTATCGTAATAAACTAAATAAATTAATACACAAACAAAAGAATAATTACTATATAATGCAAATTGAAAAAATAAAAATAACATGAAAAAACTATATGACGTCATAAAGGATGCAACGTACGAAAAGAGTTAGAAAGGTCAATCTTATATTTCTATAAATGATAATGATGGCAACCATTTACTGATTCTATTAAAATGGTAAATTTTTGTAATGAATATTTTATTGATGTGGGTGTTAACATAGCGCGGACAATTCCCACTCCTCAATCTGAGTGTAAATTAGCGCACCCCGTCCAGAATTCTATTTTCTTAAGTCCCATTACAAAGAATGAACTAATAAAACATATCGCATCTTTCAAAAGAAATAGTGCTCCTGGCTATGATGGCATACAGGTTGAAACTATAAAGCAAACTCATTTTGAAATTTTAACACCGTTATTACATATTTACAATTTAATTTTGGTAACTGGAATTGTCTCAAAAGAGTTTAAAACGTCAACAGTTATCCCGATACATAAATCAGGGGATACTACATCTATTGGAAATTAGAGGCCTATAAGTTGAATAACAAGTTTTGCAAAGTTATTTGAAAAATGTCTTAAAACTCGATTAATGGAATTTTTTAAAGCTAATAATGTATTATCAGATAATCAATTCGGGTTTCTTGAGGGTTACAGTGTAGTGGATGCTATGCAGAAATTAATAACTGAGATTGTCAATAATCTGAATAATGGCAACAAGAGTATTGCTGTTTTTTTGGACCTTGCTAAGGCTTTCGACACGGTTCCGGTTATAAGGGGAGTGGCTTATGATTTACTGAGGGATTATCTTTCAAACAGACCACAACTGCTAAAACTCAATAACATAACAAGCAAATGAAAAAAAAATAAAGATTGGTGTCCCGCAGGGTACTGTTTTGGAACCGCTCCGTTTTATAATGTATATAAATAAGATGCTAAAGCTGGACTCAGGGAGTTTAACTATTTCTTATGCTGACGATACTGTACTTCTTTTTGCAGGTTCTAGTTGGGAGAATGTAAAGTGTAAAACAATGTATGGTCTAGGTATGGTTACAGACTGGTTACAAGGGAGTAAACTAGCATTGAATTTATCTAAGACAAACTATATTGCGTTTTCGTTGACCTAAAAACAGACCAAATTACAGCACTATTATGTTGGATGATAATTATTCCGTTAAGGAAGTGTCTCAAACTAAATATCTTGGAATCATTATTGACCAACATTTAAAGTGGCAGCCGCATATTGATTATGTATCGAGTAGTTAGAAAATTAATCCATAAATTTTATCTACTGCGTGATTTTATCGGTAAAAAAATGTAATAACAGTTTATAAAGCATTTGTTGAATGAATTATACAGGGTGACTTCGAA